TGTGTGTGTGTGTGTGTGTGTGTGTGTGTGTGTGTGTGTGTGTGTGTTCACCTCCCACATCAACCTGTTGTCCAAACTTTCATCCAACTCACTGGGCAGTTTTTTCTCACCAGCAAAGGGGCCAAACTTTTCTCCCTTAGAAAGCAAACAAATGTTAATTTGTCAAGCATGAACCTTTTTATTAAACATATTGGCAGACAGAAATAGGTATAAATGAAACATGGTTTAAAGGTACTCATTTATTTATTTTTTTTCATGTGCTAACTTTCTCCAATTAAACACATCAAAAACAGAAGCTACTTTGGTTGGTACCCCCACATCAGACTCGTTCAACATCTATCTATACAATAATCTTCTCTGGCCAAAACATTCCCTTTGCTGATACAGTGACTAATCTTGGTGTAAGATTTGATTCTCATCTTACATTTGAATCCCATATTAAAAATATTTGCAAGACTTGATTCTTTCATCTGAAAAACATCTCCAAACTCCGTCCATTACTCTCCTATTCCGATGCTGAAAAACGTGTCCATGCTTTCGTTTCCACAAGACTGGAATACTGCAATGCGCTTTCTTATGGAATTCCATCCAAGCACATTCAAAAACTTCAATATGTACAGAACAGTGCAGCCAGGATTCTGATGAAGCAAAGGAAACATGATCACATCATCCCAATCCTTAATTCCCTGCACTGGCTTCCCATTTCGCTCCGTATTGAATACAGGGTTTCCTTACTCACCCACCAATCCATTCATGGCAATGCTCCACACTATCTTAAAGAACTGCTCACTGCTCAAACATCAACACGATCCCTCAATTCCACAAATTCCTACAAGTTCCACACTCCCCGGACAAAACTGTGCACCATGGGTGACAGGGCCTTTTGCTCTGCTGCTCCTCGTCTGTGGAACAAACTCCCTGACCATTTAATGATACTCCAGACTACAGAAAGTTTTAAGAAAGGACTGAAGACCTTTTTATTTAAAATATTTTATAGTGTTTAAAAGTATTTTAATCCTGGAGTTATTTATTTATTTTATTTAGTTTTTTAGCTTTTAACATTTTTTGTCCTTTTTTAGTCCACATTTTATTCTCTTTAGATATTTTATATTGTAGCACTTTGAGATTGTAAAATGTAAAGTGTAGTACAAATTGAATAAATTATTATTATTATTATTATTATTATTTTCTTTACTTGCATAAAGTGACCAAAAATAGTTTGACAATGGCAACGTCCATGGAAGTCATGGAAATGAGAAGTATGACAGTTTTCATGTATTGTACATATTTACTTTGATTTGTTGGGCAAATATATGGAGAGGATATGAGGGTTGATTGGACAGCTGTCACTCATTTTTCTCTTTTCTTGAGTTTATACAGCATTTTCACCCAATTGCCTTCTCCGAGATCGTCCAACCTTTGTTTACCTACACAGAGTAAGGTCAGTCCATAGGCGTTGCAACCATTATATGTGAAGGGGACAAGTCCCCCCACATTAAAAAAACATTCAATAATATACACTCAGTAATGCTGGTGGTGTGACGTTGCACGTTCGTGGTGAGACGTATTGTGTCATTTCCTGTTTGTGTGTCGGTACCTCGAGTGAATTGTTTGCTCGAGTCGTCTCTGTTTTCTGGATTTATCTGTTTTTTGCACAGTTTTTCATTCTAGTTCACAAACACATTTAGCACAGTTGTTTTTCTACTGTTGGATAGTGCTTAAAACACCTCTTATCTTTCAACACTTCTCGGGTTTTTATTGGTGTATTTGGCTCTGCTAGCTCCTGCTAGCGTTAGCTTAGCATGGCTGCTGCTTCTCTCCCTGCTTCCTCTGTTTTCTCTTGCTCCATGTGTCAGATGTTTAGCTACTCCTCTGCCTCCTTTAGGGGTAATGACACATGTAACAAATGTAGTCTTATGGTAGCTTTGGAGGAGAGGCTGTCTGAACTGGAAGCTCGACTCCACGCTGTAGAAAAACCAGTAGCTAGCCAGGTCCCCTTAGACAGCGTGGAACCACAGAGGCTAGCTCCCGTTAGCGGTCCTCCAGCAGACCCCGAGCAGCCGGGACCCAAGGCCAGATGGGTGACGGTCCGGAGCAAGCGTAGTGCTAAGGCTAAGTACCCAGTTCACCACCGACCCATTCACGTTTCTACTCGATTTTCCTCGCTCAATGACACACCCGCTGAGAAGCAGACCCTGGTTATTGGAAGCTCCATAGTCCAAATCATGGCTTTAGGGACTCCAGCGGCCATAGTCAAATGCATTTCGGGGGCCAGAGCGGGCGACATAGAATATTATCTGAAACTGCTGACTAAGGCTAAGGCTAAATACGGGGGCCAGAGCGGGCGACACAGAATCTTATCTGAAACTGCTGACTAAGGCTAAGGCTAAATACAGTAAGATTGTTATTCACTTCGGCGGTAATGACACCTGGTTATGCCAATCGGAGGTCACTAAAATTAATGTTGCTTCGGTGTGTGACTTTGCTAAAACCATGTCGGACTCCGTAGTTTTCTCTGGCCCCCTCCCCATCCTGACCAACGATGACATGTTTAGCCGTATGTCGTCGTTTAACCGCTGGGTGTCCAGGTGGTGTTCTGACAATGACGTGGGCTACATACTGTAGATAAATGGAGTTCATTCTAGGGAAAACCTGGTCTGATGCGGAGAGATGGCATCCATCCCACTTTGGACAGAGCCGCTCTTCTTTCTAGAAATATGGCTGATTTTGTTTATCCCCCAAATTATTGACAACCCAGGGTCCAGTCCAGGAAGCAGAGTTGTAGTCCTCCACACCTCTCTGCTGCTTCTCCTCTGTTATCCACTCACATCCCCATTGAAACAGTGTCAACTCGCCCACGGCTCAAATTAAATAAACCAAAAATCAGCTCTAAAAATATAAACCATAAAAATCTGATTAAAATAAACACAGTTACTTTACCAGAGCAAAATCATAAAATCATTAAATGTGGATTATTGAACATCAGATCTCTTTCCTCTAAATCCCTGTTAGTTAATGAACTGATAACTGATCATCATATTGATTTATTCTGTCTGACAGAAACTTGGCTACAACAGAAGGATTTTGTTAGTCTAAATGAATCCACTCCTGTTAATTATTTAAATTTTCATGTTCCTAGAACAACTGGCTGAGGTGGAGGATTAAAAATATTAAGAAAATTCTAGAATTGCGCCGCTCCAGGTGGATGCATGTTGGAGCAGCTCTGTTACTTTCATTCTGAGATTTTGCTTTTGGAAACTTTAATTCCTCTTTTTCTGGATGTAAGTCACATTTTTTGGATGATTGTTTCCTCTGGTATCGAATGCTGTGCAGCTGGAAGGATTTTTACTGAAACTTTTTTTAGTTTTGGACATTTGTTATGATGCGTAACCATGGCAACAAGGCAGTTTTCTACAACAACAGCAGCTGAATAACATCTCAAAAGCTGAATTAATATCTCAACTATGGCCCCAACTCTCAAATGAGTTGAAAAGGATGTTCTATGGACGCATTCTCATCTACTTGCCAGCTGTGCTCGAGTGCCTGACCACTGAGATCCTGGAACTAGCAGGAAACATGGCTCACAACAGCGGAAGAACAGGATCGTCCCTCAGCACCTACAGTTGGCTGTCCGCAGCGACAAGGAGCTCGGCAGACTGCTGGGAGGAGTGGCCATCGCTTTGGGAGGAGTTCTGCCCAGCATTCAAGCGGTCCTACAGTGCAGGGGAACCAAGAGGCCAGCCGAGTCTGGGTGGACGGATTGGACGGCATCTGCTGCCAGTTTCATAGGATCCACTGTGAGATGGACCTTTACAAGTGATCCTTCCTGCCTACAGCCATCAGCATCTATAACTTCTCTTAATGAAATGAGGATAACGAGTTACAACAACAAAATAATTTCCCTCTGGGATTAATAAAGTATTTTTGAATTTGAATTTGAATTGAATTTGAATTAGCTTCTAATTTTCAGTCAGGATTATTGATTAATGCCAAACCAGTTATTAGTTATGATTCTTTTGAATCGCTGTCCCTCAGTCATTCTCATCCAAAATGGAAATCAGAAAAGCCACTTTTACTAGTTGTTATATATCATCCACCAGGCGCTTACTCTCAGTTTTTGTCTGAATTCTCAGAATTATTAACTGACTTACTATTAAATACTGATAAAATCATCATAATGGGTGATTTCAATATTCATGTAGATGTTGAGAGTGATAGCTTAAGCATGGCCTTTAATAATTTAATAGACTTATTTGGTTTTACCCAAAACATCTGCAAATCTACTCATTCTTATCATCACACTCTTGATTTAGTTCTGACCTATGGTATAGAGGTTAAGGACTTGGTAATAGTTCCTCAAAATCCTATTCTGTCCGACCATTTTTTAACAACCTTTGAGTTTACATTAAATGACTACACAGTCACTGAGAGTAAATTTCATCTCAGCAGGTGCTTATCAGAAAATGCTGTAATCAAATTTAAACAATCTCTTCCATCAATGTTTTCCTCTGTCTTGCAGAGTAATGCATCAGAGAACAGAGACTTAGATCATCTAGTTGATCATCTTACAACTTCAATGCAAACTTCACTTGATAAAATTGCTCCACTGAAAAAGAAAGTAATCAATCAGAGGAAACTGGCTCCTTTGTTCAATTCTGAGTTACGTACTTTAAAGCAGGCACCTAGAAACCTGGAGAGAAAATGGCGCTCTACTAATGTTGAAGAATTTTATTTAACTTGGAAAGATAGTCTGCTAACATATAAAAAAGCTCTCCGTAACGCTAGAACTTAATATTATTCATTTTTAATAGAGAATAAAAATAACCCTAGGTTTCTGTTTAGTACTATTGCTAGACTAATTAAAAGTCCCATTTCTGTTGAACCATGTATCCCTACAACTATAAGTAGTGATGACTTCATGAGATTCTTTATAAATAAAATTATTTCAATTAGAGAGAAAATTCAAACCATCCTTTCTTCTACTATTTCTAGTCCTCTGTCAAATGAGGTAACTTTAAAAATTTCATTAGAGCCTGATTTATGTTTGGACAGTTTTTGTCCTGTTGAGCTCTCTGAATTGTCAAAAATAATAACCTCATCCAAACCATCCACATGTCTGCTAGATCCCATCCCAACCAGACTGTTTAAAGAGGTATTCCCCCTAATTAATGTCCACATTTTGGATCTACTTAATTTGTCTTTAATGGATGGTTATGTACCACAGAGCTTTAAGGTTGCTTTAATTAATCCTTTACTTAAGAAGTCTGATCTTGATTCAGAAATTCTGGCCAACTATAGACCTATATCTAATCTAACTTTCATCTCAAAAATTCTAGAGAAAATGGTTGCAGGTCAGTTGCGTGAACATCTACAAAGAAATAATCTGTTTGAAGAGTTTCAGTCAGGGTTTAGAGCTCATCATAGCACAGAAACAGCATTAGTAAAAGTAACAATGATATTCTCATGGCCTCAGACAATGGACTTGTTTCTATACTATTCCTGTTAGACCTCAGTGCTGCATTTGATATGGTTGATCACAATATTTTACTACAGAGGCTTGAATGTGATATTGGGATTACAGGAACAGCTCTAAAATGGTTTAAATCATATCTATCTGATAGATTCCAGTTTGTAAATGTAAATAATAAATCTTCTTCATACACCAAAGTTAGTCATGGAGTTCCTCAGGGCTCAGTGCTTGGGCCAGTACTCTTTACTTTATATATGCTTCCATTAGGTAAAGTTATTAAACAGCATGGGATAAATTTTAATTGTTATGCTGATGACACACAATTATATTTGTCCATTAAACCCAATGAATCCAATCAGCTACTTAGATTACAAGCACGTCTTAAAGACATAAAAACCTGGATGACCCTTAATTTTCTCCAGTTGAACACAGATGTAGCAGCATAAATGGTGTGCTGCCCCTTTAACACGGTCAATTGCGGCTTCTGTATAAAAGCATGTCACTCCCGTCTGGGTACACGGCGTTTGTCACGACGTCTGCTTGCTTTTGCGGCAGATAACATTCTCCGGTAAGCGTGGCTAATGTGTTTCTTTGTGCAGTAGTTTGCCTTTAGCTGCTAATAAACTGGTTTGTTTTCTTAACGTTCAGTCTAGCCTCTTCTCTGCTGTGCCTCCTGGGTATAAGACTGGTCTGTCTGTGTGCCCAATTAATGGCTTGAAGGTAAGGGTTAGCCTAGCCTGCTACCGCTTACCTGTTACTGTAAACAAATGCTTATTAGACTGTTCTGTTACAGCTGCTTGATCCAATTTATACAGCAACTCTATTATAAGATTGTGCTGTAACATACAAATTTGCAGGTAGGCAATATGAGATTCTGTAAATTCTGCTGTCAATGGTTGAGTTTAATAGTGACGATCTGCTCCCTTTAGTTTTCAGATGAGCCTTCTCCTGCTGTTCAGTTGGATTCTGCTCGCTGCTGTTTTGCCTAGAGGAAAAAATATAAAACTAACTCGGGCCTTTGCCCTACTGGCTGAGGCTTTGATTTTAATGAACTGAGTGCACCACTTAATCTGTTTTTATGAAATATTGTGACGCGGCTTTCATTAAGGCTGTTTGTTCATTTTTATTTTTATTTTTCAGGGACTGAGACTTCGTGTGGTGGCGGTGGTGACCCCTGGTGGCGGTGTCTCGCTTTGTGTGTGGAACACTCCTTTTCTCTTTTGTAGTTTAGGTGATCCCTCTTCCTTCACTGGATGTGGTCTCCTTGTCTTTAAAGCCCCCCTCCCCACTAGTAAGCCTCAGTCTCACCTGATATTTTAAAGTGTTTTTTTAACTCCAGCACAGCTGTGTTAAACAATTAAATGCAGTCAACAATTTTCTGGTATTGCATGTTTTAAAATACTTTTTGAATACTTTTAACTTGTGCAAATTACCCCCACAATAAATTTGGTAAAGTTTATTTGAATCTTGTCTCCTTCCTCCAGTAGAACAAACTTACGTGTCCTTTTATTTCCTGGAGTATAATCCCAGGTGGCGTTGTTGTTTTTCACTCTTTGCAAATTGACTAAAGAATTAACATTTTCCATTAACATTCATATTCATTTTTAAAAGATAACCACTCCCTCAGTGCTACACAGACAAGACTGAGGTTTTGATTTTTGGACCTGAGCACCTTAATAATGAATTTTTCAGTCTTTCTCCCTCCTTAGATGGCATTAATCTTGCCTCCAGCTCAAATGTTAAAAATCTTGGTGTCATTTTTGATCAGGACATGTCTTTTATCCCCCACATTAAAAACGTTACTAGAACTGCCTTCTTCCACCTGCGTAATATCACTAAAATTAGAAACATCTTATCTAAAAATGATGCAGAAAAACTGGCATTTGTCACGTCTAGACTGGACTATTGCAATGGTTTATTATCTGGATGTCCAAATACTTCTTTAAAACATCTTCAGTTGATCCAAAATGCTGCTGCCAGAGTCTTAACCGGAGTTAGTAGGCAAGATCATATTTCTCCAGTTTTAGCTTCTCTCCATTGGCTCCCTGTCAAATCCAGAATAGAATTCAAAATCTTACTTCTAGCCTACAAAGCTCTCAACAACCTGGCTCCATCTTATGTTACAGATCTTATTGTTCCATATTTTCCTAACACATTTCGCTCTCAGACTGCAGGTTTACTTGTGGTTCCTAGAATTTACAAAAACAGAATAGGAGGCAGATCCTTCAGTTATCAGGCTCCTCTCTTGTGGAACCAACTTCCAATCTCTGTCCGTGAGGCTGACACATTATCCAGTTTTAAAACTAGGCTTAAGACTTTCTTTTTTGCTAAATCCTATAGTAAGGTCAGTCCATAGGCATTGCAACCATTATATGTGAAGGGGACAAGTCACCCTACATTAAAAGAAATGTTCATTTGGACCCCCTCACACACACTTTTACTATGAAACATTAGTTCAGGTGGCACAGTTTCTCTTTCTTCGTGAACAAATCCATTCCACTTGATCAATAGGAGAATACTCAAGCTACTAAAACTCCATTCCAGGTTTTCCTGGTTACCTCCAACTCTAACACAGAGCGGAAACTGTGCAGTCTGCTGAGTCTCCTGCTTTGGCAGAAAACGTGCACAGGTGGAGGAGATAAAGACATCTCTGTGTTGCTCACTCGCCAGCTTAGCGAGGCAGTTGTTGACCGGGGGGGGGGGGGGGGGGTTGATCATAAACATATATACATGGTTAGGAGGATGCTTGATAGGAGTGCTACGTCTGTAGCATCTTAGCTTTGCAGTAACTGTGACGCTGTAAGACGCTGCAGGTGTAAGAGACGCTGTGTGTTCAGGTGCATTAAAGTTGAAATGTCTTTAAAACCCCACACCTTATTGTCCTCAAGCTTCGTGAGAAACATTATTTAGATGAGTGTTGAACACAAATAAAAAAAGTCTAGCGGTGATGTTTTTTATTTCTCTATAAACACAAATAGTGCTGACCTGACGCTGTGTGTTAGTGTATTGAAGTTAAAATGTCTTTAAAACCCACAGCTGAATTTACACAAACTTGGTGAGAAACATGCTTTAAATGTGTGGAATTAAAGGAAATCTAGGTGAAATGTTGCTTTTTTTGGTACATTAGTGTACACTTCTTTGCACGCACGCACGCACTCGCGCACACACACACTTACACAAATCATTGTGCCCCCCCACATTACGGATGCTTCTGACGCCCTTGGTTCAGTCTAATGTATGTCAGCCACATGGTCCAAGCTTCCAAATGTTTTTCAACTAATTCAGCCAAGTACTTTGTTGACACGGTCTACCTGCATTTCAGAATTGCATATTAATTTAATTTGAAAACTACTGCACTAAACTCTGTTCAACTGCACCATTTGGTATAGTCCAGGAAAACTTTTTAAAGTTTTATTTCATAGCTTACAATGAGTACCTTCATTAATCCAGAATCAGCTTTTTGCACTGGTGACAGATGTTGAATAACAGAAGGCACGCCTGTTGCTTCATGTAACATGTTCCATAGATCTGAACGTACAAGGGGCGTGGTCTAAATGTTCACCTTTAGTGACGTTCAAGTATATGAACCAAGTCGACTTCATATTTTACAGCTTCTTAGTCTGTTATAAACATCAAAAGTGTAAAATAAGAGCATTGAAGTTCGTTTAGTACGAAAAATAGCATTAGGAGTCGAACTTGTTCAGATAAATGTAACATTATGTGGACTCAGGACCGCAGTTTTCTTCTTTCTCGACAGAATGTGAATCTGAAGTAGAGTCGGAGTAAACCGCATTAGTATCTGCAGCTACGTGGCATTTGAACGTCACATAGCTCGGTTCAGACTGACAGCGACTGGAAGGAATAAAGCGAGTGGGAGAAAAAATGTATCCATAACGCTACAAAAACTGTCTAAAACTAAGCTTTAAACGCTTCCAGCTCGGCGTCAGTGTCCCTGTCAGAAACTACAAACCTTTTTTACTCGCCTCGCCGTGTAAAGACCGATTCCATCCTGGACCTTTGACGATTTCAGGGAGAATCTGTCTGGCACGTACATACCCAACATTGTCATCACTTGGAAAAGCTTTTTCCCTCATTGATAAATCAGTTGGCAGTCATGAATGCCACCGGAAGTGGAGAAATCAAGGTCAGTTTCGTGTTAAAGCGGATAGTTTCTTCAGAAAGCGGTCCAGATCTACTTTAGTCGCTCATGCAGCAGGAAATCAAAGCTCCGCTCTGATTGGTCCAAAGTTCGTAACCCAAGGGGTGTGTGTGTGTGTGTGTGTGTGTGTGTGTGTGTGTGTGTGTGTGTG